AAAGAGAAATGGCACTATCCAAATAACCACAAACTACTTGAAGGCATAGTCCCCCATTGAATTACAACTCTATTGATCAATTTTCTATAAATTTTAAAAAATATAACCAGAAAAAGCTTATCGGTAATCTCCACATCTAAGATGACAGCACAACCCCTGTCAAAGGTTGAGTCGTGACGTATTTTGTCATAGCTAGCTGCTATAAGCACAGTCTCTATACAGTGCCTGTGAGGGGGTGTCCTATATAATTATGTATAAACATTTAACTACTATTTTCTAAAAACTAGGTTGAAGAGAACATAGCCCCTTGACCCAAATCCAGACAAAGCACTGATATGTTTTGGTGCAGCTCAGGATAGTGAGAAATACTGAAAACGAATTCTGCATCTTGCACTGAGTTACAGTCAAATAGTCTCACCCCTGATTTTAATTTGATAGCACATATAGCAAAACTTCCAAAAAAAAATCAACATAAAATTTATACCTAACGCTTGTTACTTCTAGAGTTGTGCATTCCCTCTAACCAAAGCATCCCCTTAAACCTCTTTTATACCTTGGTAATTAATGAACCACCACAGTGAGGGAGCAAACACACTCGGCTGTTGTGTGCAGGGCTTCAGCTAACAGGCAAAGACAACAAGAGTTCCACTTTTCCTCAGGCTAGAAGCTCTTGTTGACCCTCTGATAGACCTACCTAGAGGTCAGTTTTCATGACAAAAATTATTTTTGTATGGGTTGAAGCACCAATTTAAAAAAAAAAAAAGACAATTTCCTTTGTTTCTAACCTGGTTTGCAAACCTTGCCTACTGTCTGTGGTCTGAGACAAGGGCAAAAGCGTTTGATCCAGCAACATCAGAGTCCCTAGAGCATTATTAGGAGAAAGGAGAATTAAAGACAGCTCTCAAGTGAGAGCTTTGCCTGCCATGAGTGTTATGCAGGGCTCGCTCCAATGAATCAGCTTAGGACAAGGGAGCTGTAGCATGTACAGGGAAGCAAGAAAATAGGGGCAAGCAGAGGGAGAGGGTGCAAAAGAGAAAGGAACACACCAGCAATTTGCAGGTCTATTATCCAGCTGGCTGTTAAGCTCTGAGGCACTGGTCACCAGATAGCCCTACCCCATTCCAGCTGGGGAATGAACCGATTGCAAATTAGAGCTGCTTTCCTTTTCTAACTCCCCAGGGAAGAGCAGCAGCTCTTTCCCAACTCCTCCCCCATCGTTGCAGCAGCCCTGCAGGTGCTCAGGATGCTATTTTCAGCCATTCACCAGCAGGTGTGACTCAAGGCCCTGTTATTTAAAAGTGTACAAAGGGTAATTTAAAGTGGGATCTGTCCTTCGTAGTATTGTGGCAACTTTGATACTATGGATACAATTCACCAACTCTCCACACTTTCCATTTCTTCCTCAATTCTCTGTTCCTTTTCAAGCTAATATGCCTTATACAAGGACATTTGCAGAGCCCAGGACTTTTATGCAGTACCAGCACCCATCTACTGCAAGCAAACACACACTTTCCCTCCTTCTCAGCAATTGTCCCACCTACCATGACATTTCTGGGTGAGGAAGTCTACTGCTTTCAGCTGATACTGTGGGTTGCTCTCACACTTGCTTTTATTCTATTTTGGTTCAAACAACCTAACCATGAGAAAGAGACAACACAGAGTACTAGACTGGAAGACATTGAGAAACCTCAGGTCAAATTATCTAGTACAAGCTCTGTATGAGTCTCAAAGCCAAATGCCTATTTAAATGCAATGCAGACATAGCCCCAAGGTAAGAGGGTAGGAAAGCATCTTATTACTTTTACTTAGATAGTGTCAGCATTCCACTCTGCTCTGATAAACTGAACTGGAAGAAGAGCTTCCATCTATCCCTAAGTGGCATGGCCCAGCTCACTATTAGAATTCCTCTAGGGTACACAGACTCTGTTCATATCCTAGTACCAAATCAGTTGAAATCCATGGGAAAAAACAATGGATGTCCCAAAAAATTCTCATGCCACCTGACATGGAAAGCCAAGTAAGCAACGTGATAGAACACATCACCTTTAGGTACACTGGAGCTGGCACTAATCAACCCCAGGCAGCAGTTTCCCTACTGATTCCCATTAGCAAATCATTTTCCCAATGCAAGCATAAGGGCAGAAGACGACCCATGGTGTCCCGCTCCATCACAGACACCATTCTCAACTGCATGTGCGCAGGCAACCTTACACAGCAGCAAGTTTTCACCTGCCAAAATGCAGCAAAGACATTTCAGATGAGCCAAATGCCAAGTGTCTTTATCTGTAGACTGAATGTGGTGGCTGATATAAACTCTCATGGACATACAGAATGTTTGAAGAAGGGGGCAGGAATCACTTCAGACACACAAATTCATGCTTTGGTGACGATTTTAGGGTGTGTGTGATACAATTATTAAATCTGTAAAATTTTACAGTGAAGGCTGTGATGGCAAAAGGGATTGTACTGTTAAGTTCATTTCATTTCCCTATGTCTACCCTCCTTCCTGGTCCTGCTTCCATCCCTCTATCCCTGTGTTCATTATTTTTGACCAATCTTCTTTTTTCCTGCCCTTTCTTTTCATTATTCTTCCCTCCTCCTTCTCTAATGTCTCTCAGTTCCTCCCTCAGCCTTTTCTCCCATATCTGAAAAAGCAGCGTTGCTATAACTAGCCACACTCAGGTTTGCTACCTGACAACAGCTCACACAGGAAGGCCATGAAGCAGGAAGAGCTGCTATTTCAAATCTCGCTATCAGCAGATGCTTTACCCAGAAGATGCAGCAAAAAATAGGATTGCCTTAGGAAGGTGAGCAAATACCATCTGGGAGGAAGGCAAGGAAAGCTGAGAGATTTAAAGCAATTCTGCAAGATCACACTACCTGCAGTTCAAAGACCATGGTGCATTTATTTCCCATACATTTAAATAGCAAGTGACATATTTGCAGCCTTTTATCATGAATACTTATATGTTTAGTTGTGGCACATGAATCTGGTTGCAGATTCAGGTATTAAGACTTGTATGACAGGCATTTCTTCATAGGTTACTGTACTGAACTATAATTTTTATTTCAGACATATACATGCACACAATTACTATTAAGAAACACTCCAGATATGTGAAAGAGATTGAGCATACAGGCAAGCAAAAACTTCTAAAGCACAGTTTTGCACTGAAAGCCAGGTATGTAAAAATGGTACCTTCCAAAGCATTCCTGAAGACTCTAACTTAACAGTACTATTATAGTACATTAGCTCTGAAAAGT